TCTTGTTCCTCATAATTAAATTATTACTATACACTCCTAATTTATATATGCATGCACATATAATATGCGCATCAGCAGCCATGATGACTGAACATAAATCTTGTATTGGTAAGGTGTGCTCTGCAAATAGTGTTAATTCCAAAATTAGTATACATATTTTATAAACTCTCTGTACCCCTTTACTATGAGTCACAGTCATGGTGAAAGCTGAGCCCTGTGTCAGTGTCGTATATGATCAACACGGGGTTTCGGTTTCTACCATGATTGGTGTGAAGTTGTAAGGATAATGTGATGCACATGGGTAGGGTAGGGGTCGTGTACGGGTAGACGTGGGTGGGGTGGGGGTGGGGGTTGGGGGCACCAATGCCAATGCGTATATGTGTGTGAGTGAATTAAATGCATGACGGTCATGGTTGACAGACCTAACCATGCTTTCGATGGTGGGGTCGATTTGGCTACAATAGGGTGTGTGTCTGTGTTTGACAGTGAATATATAATTTATATAAATATAAATATATGTGAACATGTATATAACATAATATAGTATTACTAGTGATGTATGTGTGGGTGTATGTGTATGTGCGTGTGTGTGTGTGTGTGTGTGTGTGTGTGTGTGTGTATTATTATTATTGTATGGTATCCCTGTTGCAGACAAAACAAACCATATTATATGTATGTATTAGTTACCTGTTCCCTCTATGTTGCCAAACATATATCATATTGCATGTTACAATTCTCATCTACATTATCTGTTCCTTTCCCTACACCTTTTCTCCCTTACGGTGCATTTTACCTGTTGGAGAAAGAAACCCCTACTCATTGCGAAATAATAACAATTACCTTATGCCTAATCATAGTCGTACAAGTACTAGATTATCTTTTATACCAGTAACTACCAGACTCTGGAATAGCCTCTCGGAGACTGTCAGGAACCAGCCAGCTCTGAATACTTTTAAAAACTCATAAACATAAAGATCACAAGAAACATCCATTTTATTTTAATCACGGACCTCGTCATCTTGATATTCTACTAACTACATTTTAAATTAAGACACATCTGCAGTGCACTAAATAATTATCTTTATCGATTTAACTGATTCCCCATCGTGTGCTTGCAGTTACCCCTTGTGAAAACTCCTACCGTTTTTTGATGGAATGTCCTCTTTATAGTGACATAAGAAATGATATGTTGATTAAGTTGCGTCGGTATCATCCATTACCTCTAGATACGCTTTTGCATGGAAATGTTGATCTAACATTAGAGGAAAACAAAACTATTTTTGAATTATTTGAATATTTATTCGTACAAGTAATAGATTTCAAATATAGTCGTGAAGAACAGGTGAACTTATCCTATAGTCTATCCTTTCATTCCTTGTCTTTATATTAAACCTACCCAACCCTCTCACTATCTTTTCTGAACCACTATATCATAAGTGATTTTTGTAATATGAACTATAACAAACAAAAATGTCAATTTCTTTTCTGCCTGACACAATGAAACGATACCTAAAAGGAGCTTGAATATACAACAAAGCAATATTATTAGGAATGGGCGTTTACATAGACGATCTGATCAGAGGAAGTAGCCGGAGTGTGTAGCTAGTATGTGCAATACAGAGTATTACAATGTATACTTTACTTAGGGGATAGTACGTTGTTTTGAGTGGCTATACTGGCGATTAGAACATGAAATTTGGGTTTGAACTCGAGACCAATAGGTCGAGAGTTTAAACCAAATTTCATGTTCTAATCGCCAGTATAGACACGAAAAACAACGTACTATCCCCATTCTAACACACTTGAACAAATATACTACGCTAATATGTTTAGAAACATTGTATTTCCTTGTA